TCCTCTGTTCTCCTATTCTTTCTAATAGTTCTTCATTGCTATCCTTCTCTATTCTTTTAATACGTATTAATATTACACTTGCATTCATTAAATTCGGCAAAAAGACTGAGTGGTCATTTAATTTTTTTTATCAGTGTTGAATGGCTTTCGCTACTTTTGAACATGATCCCAAATTTATAGCAGTAATTATAATTCATTCGCTCGCGTGAGTACTACGTTGCGACATTTCTGGTCGGATTAATTATCTTAATGAGATGGATGCATGGGGTACTGCGGAAATTTCCGCTGGGGACTTTTACCGACACTAATACATAGATAAGAAGAGAAAGTAAAATATATTTAGAATACGAGCATTTTATTGATCTTACTCGAATATAAAAAATTAAGATCACAATCAAACATGTACAAAATGTGGATAATGAATAAAATCATTAAATTCTTTTTTCGTTACGTTGTCCTCATTACATACTATAAACCCACTCTTTCAATAAAAGCAGAATTCACTAACAAATTTAAAAAGTGTTAAAACTACACTTACTACAGTAGTCACATTCTAGTAGTTGAATGTTGAAATACCTAAAGAAAAAGTTCCAGTGAAAGGAAAGAAGAAAAATGTGTGCAGGGTGTTCCAGTTACGCACAGTGGGCAAAAAGCAAGCGTCAATTAGCCCCTTGTTTGCACGCAGGATGCAAAAACTGAATTGAGATGGATGCCGTGACGGTAACCGAGATGAGAATCAACTTGTTGCGGGAACAAATTTCCGGAAAAGTTCCTTCTCTCATTGGAGATAACGTTCGCAGGAATTAAATGCGGGAAGTGAAGGCAAATATTGAAAAGATAAAAAAAGAACCAAGTGATACACAACGAACTCACCAAAAAAATTATTTAATAAGAAGCAATTATTTCCGTTTCAAAATCACCTTATACCTATCAACTTTTTTACTTGATACTTTGTTTATTTTTGCACTAGTTTATGGTAGAATTAAACTAAAACACCTTTAAAGTTAAAAAAGTTACGAACGTATGTAGCTAAAGTGAAAGCTTTTGTAACATGTTCAACAACAAGTTCAATTTCCCGTTATATTCTCGATTTTTAATAGTTAGAATGTGCAAATATGTACGTGATAATCAATACATTGACTTCCGGCGGCTATTGAGTACGGCCGCAGACAGGGACCGATCGATGACCGGCNGTATTTTTCCGAACAACCCGTTTAACGGGTACATTTACCACACACACACACACACACACACAGACACACCCCCTGCACACGTTCAACCCCTCTCTCGCATACATATTCTCCTAGGACGATCCACGATAAGAGCGGCAAACGTGTCGATTTGACGGCGGCAGGATGACATTAAGAAGCACTCTACACCACCGCAGAGAAGGGTGTATTGGGACTTGCATAAGACTCCATTAGAAACCCTACAGCGGCTCTATTTAGCGGCACTATCTACTACTGCTATTTCACTTATCTTATCGTGGCGAATATTAAAACGAATATCGATTTGATTTGAGATCCACCAACGTTGTCGTGGTTTATCTTTAATTTTTGGGCTTCAACAAGTGCTCGATACCGAAACCTTTTTCGCCTTAACGGAAAAAGTTTTTAAACACGAAGGGAAGTTTCGTGAACAATCCTCCGATAGTTAATCAAGCGAACGGGAATGTTTACCGAAGAATGCCTTTTCCGGAAGCGTCATGGGGACCATAAATCTTAAGAAAATATCCGAATTTTTCCAAGTAGAGTGTAATTTAAAAATCGATTTTATGTCAATCTTATAGCATCTCGTAAATGGTGTCTCGACCTACTTTACATTAAAGTTTAATTTTTCTACTCGATATTTTTCGCACATTATCTGCATGCGTCTTCAGATTTCAATTTATCTGTCACACTCTAACAGTCTTAAAGATAAATGCATGTTACGTCTAAAGGGTATCGATTCAATAGTTCTATCTTTAACATATTCATGCCTACTTTACATATGCAGCTTACCAATCAAATAAAGATTAATTTGGAAAAAGAAAAGGTTAGAAGCGTTCGAAATGTGGTGTGTTACAGGTCAATGATGAGGATACCGTGGATAGAGAAGGTTAGAAATGAAGAGGTATTAGATAGAATAGGAGAACAGACGACTCAATGGAAGTCAATAAGAAATAAGCGGAAACAAAAAGTTAAGGATATGAGATGTACTAGTTTTAGGGAAATACGAAGATTAGCTCAGGATACAGGAGAAAGTGGAGATGCGTATCTAACTAGTCTTAAGACTGATGCCCCATGATGATGATGATGATGATGCTGATTTTCTGAATAATTATTAATCCCTACAAATTATGTTACAATGTTTTGAATGACTGAACTTTGTCAGTCAAAACAAAATCTATCTCATCAAAACGAAGCAGCGCTATTTTGGGGTTATTCCAATAACGAAGAAGCTTAACAAAAACAGAAAATACTTTTTATTAGAACGCAAATGATTCCTGTTATGCACATGTAAATTTGACTGAATTCGATGCATAAAGTTTACTTATTAACGAAAAAACTACATTTGTTATACGTTCGTGATCCATTCAATTCATAGCGTTTGACAGACGGATAATTCAAATGTCATTTGTCATACAAATTTGAAAAAGTTCTTTATAATTACGATTTCTGCATGTATAATATACATCAAATCCCTCAGAACTCATCTAACTTTAAAAATCGTTCTTTACGAATGATTCTTTTACCAGGAAAAACAGCAAAAGCAAAGTAGTAAATCGTGCATATTGGAGAAAAAAGAATTGAACAGTTTTGTCATCACGACAGCATGGTTTTAATCATCATCATAAGGTCGTCAATCCTAAGACTGGTTGGACACGCACCTCCACTCTTTCCTATCTTGAACTAATCTTCGCATTTCCCTAAAGTAATCTAATCTAGGTCTACCTCTACCCCTTCTAACTCCTGTTTCTGCCTCTAGTATGTCTCTGACTAGATCTTCATGCTTGAGAAGGTGTCCTACCAGCCTATCTCGCCTATTTCTTATTGACTTCCATAGAGTCCTCTGTTCTCCTATTCTTTCTAATAGTTCTTCATTGCTATCCTTCTCTATTCTTTTAATACGTATTAATATTACACTTGCATTCATTAAATTCGGCAAAAAGACTGAGTGGTCATTTAATTTTTTTTATCAGTGTTGAATGGCTTTCGCTACTTTTGAACATGATCCCAAATTTATAGCAGTAATTATAATTCATTCGCTCTCGTGAGTACTACGTTGCGACATTTCTGGTCGGATTAATTATCTTAATGAGATGGATGCATGGGGTACTGCGGAAATTTCCGCTGGGGACTTTTACCGACACTAATACATAGATAAGAAGAGAAAGTAAAATATATTTAGAATACGAGCATTTTATTGATCTTACTCGAATATAAAAAATTAAGATCACAATCAAACATGTACAAAATGTGGATAATGAATAAAATCATTAAATTCTTTTTTCGTTACGTTGTCCTCATTACATACTATAAACCCACTCTTTCAATAAAAGCAGAATTCACTAACAAATTTAAAAAGTGTTAAAACTACACTTACTACAGTAGTCACATTCTAGTAGTTGAATGTTGAAATACCTAAAGAAAAAGTTCCAGTGAAAGGAAAGAAGAAAAATGTGTGCAGGGTGTTCCAGTTACGCACAGTGGGCAAAAAGCAAGCGTCAATTAGCCCCTTGTTTGCACGCAGGATGCAAAAACTGAATTGAGATGGATGCCGTGACGGTAACCGAGATGAGAATCAACTTGTTGCGGGAACAAATTTCCGGAAAAGTTCCTTCTCTCATTGGAGATAACGTTCGCAGGAATTAAATGCGGGAAGTGAAGGCAAATATTGAAAAGATAAAAAAAGAACCAAGTGATACACAACGAACTCACCAAAAAAATTATTTAATAAGAAGCAATTATTTCCGTTTCAAAATCACCTTATACCTATCAACTTTTTTACTTGATACTTTGTTTATTTTTGCACTAGTTTATGGTAGAATTAAACTAAAACACCTTTAAAGTTAAAAAAGTTACGAACGTATGTAGCTAAAGTGAAAGCTTTTGTAACATGTTCAACAACAAGTTCAATTTCCCGTTATATTCTCGATTTTTAATAGTTAGAATGTGCAAATATGTACGTGATAATCAATACATTGACTTCCGGCGGCTATTGAGTACGGCCGCAGACAGGGACCGATCGATGACCGGCGATCTTTGTACTAAATACGAGGAGGGTAATAAATCATGCCCTGAGTGAGACATATTTGCGTGCCTTAACAATAAGAGTTCCAGAATTCTCGAGAAGAATGAAAATTATTCCGGAGAATCCGTTGATAAAATAAGTAGACGTCTGGATGACAGCCTGAGTTAGTTAGAAAAAAAACTTTGGATGTTTCATTCCCATCAGCCTCTAATACTGGTTCCAAACTATCTCGGAAGGTAGGACGGAAGGCCCTCTTCAGTCTCCTTTTAGGAATCGTGGGAACGGGTGGGTGGTGGTTCGGGTGAGAAAGATGAGACGGACGAAATGAAGACAGAAAAGAATGAAAGATTATCTGTGGAATATTACTGCTCCAGCACATGTCTAAGTGATCCGGGGAAACCGCAGAAAAACTTGGACTAAGGCAGACGGACGGAGTCCTCCCGAATGCAAAGCAATGAACTGAACCTCTAGGTCAAGCCGCTCTATCTAAATTAGTTACTCAGTGACCAGCTGATCAGTGATATAAACAGCCTGAATTACAAGCTTATTCAGAGTACATTAAAAAGAAGCAGTTTAAATATTTCGTTAGTTTTATCGTATAAATCAACAATTGTAAAATATTGTAATTGTGCATATGTAAGTTATTGAAATTGTATCATATCCCTTACGAAGTAAAAAAGACTTTGCATCAACTGAGAATTAAATCCCGGTCGCCCCGTTGCAAAACAAATACAACAAACAAATATAAATATAAACTAAGTACTTACTTAATACGTACATACTAGCTGACATCATGTTGGTATAAAAGTTTGGAGCATCTGTCGAAACTTCGCATCTATATGTTCCAGATATTTCAGGTTGGACGTTACGTAACACGATGGCATGCAAATTCGACTTGTTCAACTGAAACAAAGAAATACAAGAAACATCAAATTAAATTCAGTTAAAATAAAAAATTTGTTTTTAGTGGTGGATACACTTATTTAGGGAAGATCTTCATTGGCGATTTAACCAGGGCTGAGATGCGACCAGAATTAGGAACTGTATAGTTGGGAGGTTCAAAATTGGCATAGATCGAAATAGAAGAATTGGAGCATGTACGAGCATCGAACATTAAAGGAAGTTCAACATTCTCAGGAGTTTATGAAAGCAAAGATGCTTGTTAAAGATATAAGTCCAACAATGCAGTTATAAAACCAACCATGATCTTTTGCATACCTAACCAACCCCCAAGCGCTGCACCGCTTACTATTATTCGTTTATCTCCTTTCACTTTGTGTGTGCTACTCATGAAGTATTTCGTAACTTAACAAGGGCGTGATCAAAACGCAGCAAATGACTACAGTCCCAACTAGCAAACAAAGAAGATTCTTACAGAAATTTTATTACGAACTTTGCCAAGTTTGATCGTTCCAACTATGTATGTCTCAATAAGGTTACCCACAAAAATGTCGTTGGCGAAGAATGACAAAACGTTTAAAGAGAATCAGTCTTGAAAGAAACTTATAAACAACTAATACTGACCGCGAAAACTAACAGTCAAAAATTAGATTTCAAAAAATGAAATGAAATTTTAATACGTTAGCTTAACCAACTTCCACATAAAATCAGTAAGCGCGATCGATCTTATGCAGTGTTCATTACGTAAATTCATCAGATATTGTACCTAAATAATTTCGCGTAAATTACTATTTGCACACTCGGTAGATATTCAAGCGATTTTCCGTTATAAACATCCTCAATATTTACTTAAGGGTAAATCGAAATTAAACGTCTTACGTCTACGTCAATTCCAGGAAACGGGAAAACCTGTGTATTGGGATGCTCCTTGGGGATGAATCGGTAGAATTCTCTCGCTCCCTTGTACCACTTGAGGGTGTAAAGGGGCTGTCCTTCCAGATCGTAGTGGCATTGGAGGGTGACAGTGTCTCCAACAGCGACTGCTTGGGGCACTATCACATCCACTTCGCTCAACGCTTTAATGCCTGGAAAAGAAGGAGAATATCCTTTATAAAACGGATGTCTTCGTTCCGTGTCTATCTACGCCTACGTATTTATATATAGGTACACCTATGTAATTGACAAAATGTACCTAGTAAATTGCAAAGAATGTCACTTCCAAAAAATATTTTTTTGACGTTCATGTTCTTTATCGTCGTCATCTAATGGGTAATCGCTGCTACTAAAGTATTTCAAGCGTCAGACAAGGTCTTAAAAAGGTATTTCAGTTTATCCAACCAAATATTAGTCAAATATAAGAAGGAAATCATGATCCGCGTGTGTCAGCTTCGATAAATGTTTGACCACCAACTTGAACGTTTTTATTAATTGGTTTACGTGTCTACCACTAGATGGTGATACACTGTCACTAAGTATTTGGATGCGTATATTATGTATTTATATGTAAAGGGTTCTGAACAAATTCACCAACCTATCGACAGACTTTACATATACTAGAAGTAAATTTATACTCGGAAGCCGCTTGCAGGAATGTATAAAATCCTTTTGGGTTACGATATTACAGCAAAAGGACTTTAATTTTGTAAAAGTTAGAAAATGAACGTCATTCGAAACTCTTTCGCGCAAATAAACCTTTGAGGCTTCCTTTCATGTTGTTTTCTATGAAAACCGAGTTTGAAAATTCCCAACAGTTGTTTATATTAACGAACCTTGTTTTAGAGACTTTATAACTACTTCAGCCGGCACAGCTCTCCAGGCACTGCAGTAAAGAAAAGATGCAAATCTAATGTTCAATTTGCATATGTTTCAGATAAAAAGCATCTTTGTCGCCAGACAAACCGACCTGGGCTTGGGCGATATGCAATGAAGTATTAGACATTCCTGCTCACTTTAAAAGGAGAAAACGTTACCGAGAAGGTGGATATTGCAATTGCACCTACCTATTCAAATCCGTGAAGGTAATACATTTTCATTTAGGGATAAAATTATAACGACGTGAAGTATGAATCGACGCGAACCCGAGCTATACTAACAGTAGAGGTAGTTTAGAATCTCATGGGTCATAACTTTGGGTTACGCAATGACACAGAAAATACCACCTTACTATTGACTCCTTCTTCGTCATCGTCCACGTGAAGTATGAGTCGACGCGAACCCGAGCAATACTAACAGTAGAGGTAGTTTAGAATCTCATGGGTCATAACTTTGGGTTACGCAATGACACAGAAAATACCACCTTACTATTGACTCCTTCTTCTCACTAAAAACATTGTCCGTTCGGCCGTCATCGTTTACGTGATTAACAGTCGGGTCAATTTTTTTGAGGTGTACAACATGACTGTAATAAGGTCTGTCCTGACATATTTCGCAGCCCAGGGTATTTCGAAATTCCTCTACCCATATCGCCATTTGCACATATTTATCCCAAATGTAGTACTTCATAGTGTTTCGCAACGTTTTGTAAAGTCCTTTGAAAGAAATTTACGCTACCTATCAATATTTCTTATATGCCTAGTAGCAAAACACTAAACATCATCCTTTTTTTTTACTTCATATATTTATTGTTTTAATAATTGATAGGTTTTACCAGCGGCTTCGCTGCCGTTAATGCACTAGGTATTTCTTAGATATCATCGACGACTACATAAAATTAATTTTTTTATCTCTTTTGAACAGTATTTTTTTTTTTTGATAAAAGGTACCCTATGTCCTTTTCTATACCTTCGACAATGTATGTACAAAATTACATGATGATCGATTTATTAGTTAATGCGTGAAGTGGTAACAAACAAACACACTCGCATTTATATTAGTTAGGATTATCTACATAAATATATGGCTGAAACAATTAGTACGAATTTATCTATACCACGTTTCATTTTGTAATAGATGATGATTGCATGTAATCGGATATCCTTATGCTTGGTTCCTAACTCTCGCCATTACTGTATGCCATAGTATCAAGTAAAGTTAATGTATACATTTGTGTTGGGCATTTGGAATAGAATAGAAATGGCAGAGTTAACGCGAGAACACTGCATTCGAAATTCAAATGGAAAAACGTTTTATTAAGAAAGTTTAGAACACAGGCAAAATAGTATTTTCATTAGCGCCCGCATTCGTTCGTTGCTGCGAAGTTTACGGATGCATTTTCACATTTAGGTAATGCAAATAAATTATTCGAATGAGTGGGTCTTTTGATTTGCTCGATAAACTAAAGCAGCAGCAACAAACTTTTCGGCCCATCCGCAGCCGGCCGTTGGAAACTATAGAAGCAGCCCCGAGCCATTGCCGAATAATCCCCTACAATTTATCGTTGCGGCTTTGTCCGTCCACTAACCGATGCCCAATTACAAAACTACAGAGAGGCCCAACTTTGTTATTAACTTGGTGGAACAATCGTACAACAAAGTACGCCATACACCCACTCGAAACATTATGTATTCATAATGCCAAAGAAGAAAGCATATAAATTTTTCTAGTCTAGAAAATAGGACAAACTTTTGTGATCTTGATAATTTAAAGTGACACCTTTTGGAATATGAATGGCGAAAAGCAATTTTTGACGTGACAACGTCTTATAATTCGATGGAGCCAGCTGCACGCACGAAAAAACATGACTCATGCGGCGTTACCTCGCTCTGAGGCGTTCCATTTAAGGCTTGAAGTGCAAGCGAGAGCGCGGAACGAGCNAATCACTTGGTCGGAATAACTAATTGATTGTTTAATGCTGAAAATTCAATGTAAATCGGTATGGATTAATATTAGGACAGAGACTTGAATTTGAGGAATATTTTTGATGTGACAACGTCTTATAATTCGATGGAGCCGGCTGCACGCACGAAAAAACATGACTCATGCGGCGTTACCTCGCTCTGAGGCGTTCCATTTAAGGCTTGAAGTGCAAGCAAAAAACAAAAAGGAACAAATTCCCCGGTCAAAATCTAAGAACATTTTTTGTAGTAACATGTTTGCAGTTCTTACGTCTTCTAATTTGACTCGTATAGTTTTAGACTCACACGATAAGACCAGATTTGAATATATCAATCACCTTTGACCTTACCTAAAATGCCGGCGTTTTTGTAGGCAGTCATAAATCAAGTTAACGAGCGCTTACTGTCATATATGAGTACAATTCGATAGCTTTACCAAAGTAGTTACTTTACGACAACTCTACATAGAAAGCAGCCCCTGTTTGGCGTAAACCAAATGGTGAAAGTTCATCGGCGCGAAATTTCTGTCCAGCGAGCATCCTCTTGAGGTCTGAGAACAGAAAAAAGTCGCTATGGGCCAGATCTGGAGAGTACGGTGGATGCGGAAGTCCAATTCATGGAATTTTGCCATCGATTTCATTGATTTATGACACGGTGCATTGTCTTGATGAAACAGCACTTTCTTTTTCAAACAACAAAAGTTCTTTCACTAAAAATGCTATAACTCAGATACTAATAGTGCAACAGCTGTCAAATTTATATACGTAAAAACCACACGGATTTGATACTAGTAGAGCCATATATGGTCAACCTACTAACTTTTCAGCCCGTCCTTGTACCTATGATGTGCTGATGAGAACTAATAAGATCGAAATCCCAATCTACGTTTGGTGATTTCGATGAATTGCCGACTATAAATTAATGATCTATCAGATAATTGGGTTGTTAATGCAATAGAAATATTCATTATGGAAAACCATTTTAAAAGGAACACGTTACGCTTCAATTAGGGAGAAGTCTTAAAGTCTTTGGTCCAAAATGGAAAATAATGTATCGGTGCGTCAATAAGAATAGCAACATCAAATCCCGTTTTCATTTTATTAAAAGCTTCGTCCTCTATTTATCGGCTCAGTCAAAAGCGATCGAAATCGACGCTTCTGGCTACACCGAGGACGTGAGAAGGGAGAAGTAAAAGGGACGCGATGTTACTGGTGCCGTCGACGGTGATAACGCTCGTGGCAGTTGCGAGTGAGTGCAGGAAATAAAAAGGACCGCGATACAGAGGCAGAACGCGGGTTCATTTATTCCGGCAAACCTCTGGATTTTGTGCGCGTCCAGAATATCCGGGATCACGATCTGAATCGAAAAGGCCGCCGCCACGACGCTCTTTGCCGACCAAATCCCCGCGAATAAATATGCACTCTCACAGAGAGAATTTTTGATGATGAGACCGACGGACAACCCTCTCGCACTGAAATATATCCAACGGAACGTACATAATGCTCAACTTGAATTCGGAGATTCGGTAATTTGCCTTTTCACAGGAATTGGAACGTTCCATTCATCGCCTTCTTCTCGAAAAAAAAAAAATTATTCCCTTAAGCCTGGTAGGTACTTCTAATACGCATACATACATTCATACATATATACATATATACATGCAAAACTTTGGGTTAAGAAGAAATTTATACAAATACTTATTAAAAGTTACTTTGTTTTTTAATAAACGGTTTGAGTTTGTTTTGGATACTGGTAAAGTGAATCCGGATGCTTGGTATGGGTACCAGTAATAGTGTCCAGATCCCGGAAATAAGATCATAATCATCATAAGGTCGTTAGTCCTAAGACTAGTTTCCTATACTAAGCTAATCTTCGCATTTCCCTAAAACTAGAACATACCACATCTTTAACTATTTGCGAGCAGTAATCTAATCTAGGTCTTCCTCTACTTCTCTTAACTCCTGTTTCTGCTTCACTCTCACTAGTCCTTCATGCCTGAGAAGGTGTCCTTCCAACCTATAGTATTTTCCGTATTTCTTCCACAGAATCCTTTCTTCTCCTATTCATCTTTATTCTTCTCTATCCACGGTATCTTCAACATTCGCTTATAACACCACATTTCGAACGCTTTTAACCTTTTCCGTCGCACCCACTGTCCATGTTTCGCACCCGTACAGCGCCGCGTTCCAAAAATACACCTTTTTCGAATTTCTAAATTAACCGTTCGCGAGCATAAAAGTGACTTCTTTTTATTAAAGACGACTCGACCTGCGCCATCTCTGTTTTAATCTCTATCCCTACCGAAAATCAGC